TCTGAATTGAGTTGTTCGCTGCTTTGCACAGGTAGACTGTCGTGCACTACTTTCTACAGGTGGATTGTAGTGCACTAACAAATCTCCTGCTTTGGGTTGTAGAAGCTCATAGGAACTTGTATTCTTTATGCATTCTGCTGTGATTTTGATCTTTACAATACGTCTACTACTGTCGGAGGTAGATGTATTCATCTTTAGACTGAAGTTGACTACAGGATACTGCATTTACTATAGTCTTTATGTATCTACACAGGGGTAGATGTTGTACATACATTTGTATTCGTAGAGGACTTGTATGTATTGCAGATCTTTTATTCTTATTTGTAGAAGCTTGATATGTTTGACTAACGCTGAGTGGTTATCAACTGTATGGATGATTCGACCTCCACTACACATTAATCGTCATCATCCATAGGTGGACTACTATATGAGTGAAAACTCTTTTATATTCACTTGTGATAATCATGGTGGACTTGTATCGTTGATCTTTGCTTGCAATCAACTATATGTACCCTTCTAATTTTCATTTGTTTGCTTGCATACAGATGTTGATTGTGAAGGTACTATTGTGTTCATCACCTACAAAATCCTTCTAGTAGCATTTGATTGCATGATAGATAGATATCACCTTCTCTTGAACACTTTGAGCCATATGAATTTCATCGTTCATCATTTGCATTTGTTTATAAATATTCATCTGAAGCTTCAGCAGAAGTCCCTTGCTCTGTTAATTAATGCTTCTCTGGATGACTTGGATCCATCAACTATCTCTTTCATATCAACCAGTGAGTTATTGTGCTCTTAATGTCACCTTGATGTTGAAAGTATTGTTGTAGGCATTGCATTCATCCCTCCTTAACTACAAGTTGATTGGCAGGATCCAAGCTATATCTATTAGAGACAGATATTCGCTAGCAATTTGATTTGCTTGTTGTAGAAATTAACATCTTGCTCTCTAGTAGATTGTAGGGATATCACCACATTTATTTCATGAGAGATATGAGCATCATTTAATCTCATTTAGAGATAAATTTAATCAGGTGCCCAAGCCACATCTATTATGATTTTCTCGTTGCTAGCAAACAAGTTGTACTCATAAATCTCTTGTCCCAAAAGAGGGACTGCAATGTGTACAAATATATGGTGAACTTAACATCATGGATCATTAACATTTGCTGTTTAGCGGAAGCGACAATTGGAGGTTTTGCATTGTCTTAACATTATTATTGTGCCAACTTATAAGTCTTTTCTTAGGCATTAAATTATATTTCATGATGCTCATTCACTTCCATTTGTTCAATATTGAATTTAGCCCTCCCCCCTTGCAATCAAACTTGATTCAAGTCCAAGTCTTTTGTAAGGGTTCATGTCTAAAGCCATCGTAGTTCATATCCAAGTTAAAGACCAAATCCTTTGCAATCAAGTTGCAAGAATTTGCTTGTGCTCATATCATTCAAATTATTATTTAATATTCAAATAGAGTTCAAGTATTCATTAATCATTTGAATTCTAGAATATGTCCCCTGCAGTTCAGCTTGGATTCAAGCTCTTATTCAAATTATTCAAGTTCAAATTCCTTGCACCAAGCTCCTTTGAGTTCAAGTATAGGCTCTTGATGAACTCTTCCATTCGAGTCCCTTGTTGTTCAAGTTATGAAATTTTGATTTTGAGTTCACTTCATTGTTCAATGTCAAGTTTCAATTTGAGTCCTCTTTCACTTTGTTCCAATGTTCATTTATTTTGATTTGCAAGTTCACTTATTGTTTGAAATTGAATTAAAGTCCTTTTATTTGCCCATATAGTTCAGGCTCTTCATGAATCTCTTCCATTCGAGTCCCCTGTTGTTCAAGTTATGAAAATTTGATTTTGAGTTCACTTCATTGTTCAATGTCAAGTTCTAATTTGAGTCCTCTTTCACTTTGTTCCAATGTTCATTTGATTTGATTTGCAAGATCACTTATTGTTTGAAATTGAATTAAAGTCCTTTTATTTGTCCATATTCAAATATGAGCTCAAATTCAATTCGTTCACATTTTGTCCAAGTCCCATATTTCAATGGAAATTTCGGCAACCTCCCGGCGTCTCCCCTGTTTAGGGGAAAAATCAAGAGGCAATCTTCCCCTCGACGCTACGTGAGCGCTTCAGGTAGGTGTCAAAAATGACACCGCGGTCGCATTTGTATTTTTTTATCCCCGCCCGCAACGTGAGCGTTTAAGGGTGTTTTTTTATTATAAGAAGAAAGTAAATGTTAGAAAGAACACAAATTTCCCCTCTCTGCACCACGTGAGCGTTCGGGGGTACTTATATAAAAATAAAGAAAATAAAAACACATTTTTTTATCCCCTTCGCCGCAAGCGTCGCACCGGTTTCCCGCTCTACAACGCTACGTGAGGTGAGCGCCTCGGGGGTTTGCCGGTCGTTGCTAGCATTGAAGAGGGTCTAGTGTCGCAAGCATCGCGCCGGTTTCCGTACACGCTAGTGATGCGCTTGGGGGTATTTGCCGGCGTCGCAGCATGGGAGAAATTACTATTTTTTTTTATTTTTTTGAAATATTTTCTTTTTCTCATTTTTTTTATATATATTATATTATATTTGATATACATAAATATTATATATATAAGAGATAGAGTAGAGAGGGGATCAAGGCATAGAATGTTGGATTGAAGACAGGGGGGCAGTCGGCTTCAGAGGGATTTCAGAAGTTTGGTTGAGGTAGGAGAAGGAATTCTTCTCTCTTCTCTTCTTTCTCTCTTCTCTCTTCCTTCTCCTCTCTTCTCTGTTTTCTTTTTTAGATCTGGGATCCTTTGAAAGGCTGGCGCTTATGGGGTTTGGTCAGAGATGGATTGAGGAAGGGGATGAGAGGCTTTTGAGCCTTGTCATCGGAGCCGGATTTAGTTAGAAGAGGAGCGACGGCTTAGGTAAGAGCTCCTCTCCACTGCTCCTCTGTTTTCTCTCTACGATCGAGCAGCAGGGGGCCGGCCCGGCTTGGTTTTGGATCGGTAGAGAGGCGGTCTGCTAGGGGTGTATTTTGAATTAACGAACGACCCGACCCGAATGAGTTGGA